CCTCCTCCTCCTCCTCCTCCTCCTCCTCCGAGTCTCTGATCGTCCTGGAGGCCCGGGCCGCCGCTGGGAGCGGCCTTCCGAGCGCGCAGAGATGGGCCTATCTGTTTTTCGAGAGGACCAGTCCTATTAATTTTGAGACTATCATATCTCTGGACAGAGATGTTTATTAGGCCCGTTGAGACTGCCGTCCGTGCGAAGCCACGTCCGTCCGTCCTGTCCGTCCTTCGTCCTGTCCGTCCGTCCGTCCTGTCCGTCCTCCGTCCTGTCCGTCCTTCTGTCTGCCGCGGCGGTGGCACTGTGCGAACCTCCTCGCCATCGTGACGCCGGCGGTGCGCGGCGCGTAGAAATTGTTGTCTCTCGTTCTTCTTTTTCTGATAATTGAAGAGGAGGAGGAGGAGGTTAGGGGGGGGGGTGCCTGCGGTCGCCGCGTCGCCGCGAAAGGTTCAAAAGCGGCTGTGCACGGCTCCCGACGTTACGCCCTGCTGGCGGTCAGGCGCGCCCGAGAGAGAGAGAGAGAGAGAGAGAGCTTATTGCAGCCGCCACGCCCTGCCCCGTGGAGACCCGCACGCACTGACGGACGAGAGCACGGCAGCGCGGAAGGCTTGGGGCGACTTGTGGGGGTTCGTTCAGTTTGGTCTTCGAGTAAAGTGCCGCCGTGTTCGAGCGTACCGTGCGAACACACCGACCGACCTGAGTGTGGTTAGTGTAGTACTCACTCAACCCAGACAGGAAAAAAACAACACACAAACTCGCAGGTGCCAGGAGGAAAAGGGTGTGCTCGGATTTGGATTAGACAAGAAACATTGCATCTGCAATGAAAGGCTTCATTCACTAGTGCAATTTGTTCTTGACCCTATTATACTGTTTGTCTTGTTTTTTTTTGTCTGCGGTGTTTTGCTCCTGCTGCTACTATCATCTCTGACGGTATTAGTTCTTCAGGCCGGGTATTACCTCATTCTTCTGAAGAGCGTAGCCGGGTGCCAGTAGTTGTAGTAACTACTGGTAGTCACATCTAAAACATCCTTCTTCCGTGTCCATCTCCTTTCTTATTGTTGTTTGTTTGTTTGTTTGTTCGTCTCCGCCGTGAAGAAGTCGCAGAGCCGACGCTGTGCTCGCGCTATGCCCCCCCCC